GAGAGAGAGAGAGAGAGAGAGAGAGAGAGAGAGAAAGAAAGAAAGAAAGAAAGAAAGAAAGAAAGAAAGAAAGAAAGAAAGAAAGAGAGAGAAAGAGAGAGAGAAAGAAAGAGAGAAGGTCTTCTTGAAATGAGCCTCTGGCAGAGGGTGAATTCTGCCCTGAAGGCCCTGGACTCTGCTGTGTCTGACAAAGCCGCGACTGGGTCTCTGGGATGTCCTTGGAGAAGCAGCAGATGGGGCAATGGACATCACAGGGTATCAGGACCCAGCGGTCACCTGCATCACCAGCCCAAAGTGCCCCTGAGTCCCAGAGCTCAGAAAAAGACTGAAGCCCTGAGTGAGCCCAGCTGGGCAGCCCCCCCCCCTTGCCCTGCCACCTTCTCTCCAAGGTCGGAGGCACGCCTCATTTTCTGGGACATCCACCCCATCCATCCCAGTTCTCACTTGACCTGGGACTCCTCCCACCAGCCCCTGGGGAAGTCATGTTCCACTCTCGGGGGCACACAGCTAAACAGATCCGCACCTGAAGCCCCCAAATGACCTGGAGTTATTTCCTCTGACCTTACAGGGCACTTGTGCTGCGCTCCAGGCATCTGGACAGCACCTGGAGTGTCAAATAGCTGGTCCCCAGGTGTGGGGGTGGGCTGTGAGGGGATCTAGGCCGTCAGACAGGCATGGGTTCACCCAGCCCCAGCCCACCCCGCCTCTCATCCCGCAGCTGCCGCGACACCTAGTGGTCCTGTGAGGTCTGCAGTGGGCAAAGCCAGCTACAGGCTGGGTTGCCATAGGAGACCAAGGAGCTCAGGGACACAGCAAAGAGCAAGAGCTGGATACCAGTGGTTAACTCAGTAGAACTGACACTTGAGAGGGAAATAAGGTCGGCCAAAGGACTAGTTAAAATCCCCAGTCACCCACTTTTCAGATCTGTGACCTTGGGTGGGTCACTTGGCGTCTCTGAACCTCCATTAACTTCCAAGTAAAAAGATAAATAAACCCTCACCAGAGAACTGTCTTCCGAGTTAGCTGTGTTTAAAGACTTCGGTGTTTAAAACTGCCAAACAAGTGCTGGTTAAATTAAAAATGAAGAAAGTAACTTTAAGGCACATGTATTTCAAATTGGAAATACATATTTATTGGTTACACTGGGGATCTTATGAAGCAAGAAGAAGCTTGCTCCTCTCCATAGACTCCTGGAGTGTGACGGCAGCTTCTGATGCCAAGAGATAATTCAATTCAAATGCCTAAGTGTGTCTGTGGTAGGTATATAATTTCCCCAAGTAACAACAATTCAGTATGCTTCCAAAGGGATGGGAGCCGTCTTCCTTCACTTTGTGTGGTTGTATTTCTAGCACACTCTATGTGTAGTAATAACTGTGGAAAATACTCGGTATTCTTGTGCAAGCCACTTGGGGCTCTGGACACTGTCCATCAAAAATAGCACTCCAGGAGAGATGGCTCAGCAGTTACGAGCACTAGCTGCTCTTCTAGAGGACCTGGGTTCAATCCCCAGCACTCACATGGCAGCTCACAATAAACGATTTAGAAATCCAGTTCTAGAGGGTCCAATGACCTCCTCGGTCTCCACAGACACCAGGCACACACATGGTGCACAGACATGGATGCAGGCAAAACAACCATAAACATGATAATTTTTTAAATTATTATTTTAAATAGCACTCCACAGGAAAGGCACTTGGGAAATTCTCAAGTTAGGTGGTCTGTGGGCCAGCTCTGTGAACTGTTTACTGTCCTACAAACACATCACGCCGAATCCAAGACCCACTAACTGCCAGAGGCACCTCTGGTCTCACGATCATCAAAGACCCCGTAGAGGGCCATGTTGGCAGTTTGGTTGGAAGAATATTTACTCAGCAGGCTTGAAGCCCAGGCTTCCACTCCCAGTGTATAAATGGTGTGGTGGTACACACCTGTGATCCCAGCACTTCTGAGGTGGAGGCAGGAGGATTAGAAAATCAAGGTCATCCTCAGCTGAAAAACAAACCAAAACAAAAAGACTCCAAAAATTCCCAAATAGCATAAGCTGGGGGAATGGGTTCTATGCCAACTGTCAGCGAGATTTACCCAACTGGACACTGTGTCTATTGCCTCTTAGCCCCTAGTTACTCTCCGGCCAAAGCCAAGTTCCTCAGCCCATGGTACCGAAGCCAAGCTGCCCTGAGGCTGAAGTCCCCTGCCCCACCTCACACCCCTCACCTCCCCTCCTTCCCCACCAGTGAATGTGACAAAGCCGAGGGCCAGGGCTGCTCCCAGGAGTGCCCACCCCAGCTCACATGACTGACTATTGACACCTGCTGATGTTTTACGATTGGGTTCTGGAGTCACCACCCCAAAGAAGAGTTCAGATCCCCATCGCAGACTTGGCCAGAGGCTCTGCCGGCTTTGCATGGCTCCAGTGATCATTCTGTCCTCACTTCTGCAGAGCACTTTCTTATCTGGTGAACAGGACAGACATATTGACAGAGCAGGAAGGCACTGACTCAGAGTCCATGGAGCCCCAGGAACAGAAACGAACTCTAGGGGCAATTTCCCAGAGTGGACTGGAACTGTGGAGTGTGAATAGGAGTTTTCCAGGTGAAGAAGTAGCAGCAGGTTAAAATTCCAGTTGGGCAAATGTCAGTGACGGAGGACTGAGACCACCAGCATTGCCAGAGAGCAGAGTAAGACAATGGGGGCCCAAGAGCCAGGCAGTGGTGTCCCATGCCTTTAATCCCAGCACTTGGAAGGCAGAGGCAGGTGGATCCCTGTGAGTTCAAGCCCAGCCTGGTCTACACAGTGAGTTCCGGGGCAACCAGGGATGCATACAGAAACTCTGTCTCGAAAAAACAAACAAACAACAACAACAAAAAGAATGGGGTCAGGAGAGAGGCTGTTGGTGTAGCGTTTGAAGGTGCCAAAGAAGTTAAATTTGGTCCTGGGGGGGCGGGGTTGGGGGAGCCAGGGTAGAGGATAAAGCTGGAAGCGATGTGGTCAATTCCTTGAGGAATGATTGTGGAAGATTCGTTGCGGGGTAGGACAAAGAAACTGGAAGACGTCTGAGTTAAGACAGGGCTGGACACCTAACAGTTGGATGCCTGCGGGGGCTGGGAAGATGGAGAAGGCAGGAGCAGAACCAAGACCTCAGCTAGGTAAATCATGATGGTGGGGGTGGGGGCGGGAGGGGCGAGGGCTGGCGCCTTGACTTTGAGGGACATGATCAACACAAAGGACAAACTGCAGGTCCCTGATCAGCCACCAGAGGGCGCTCCAAGACAGGCCAGGCTGCACTCCTTCCCAAGGTGCCTTCTAGCTCTCCTGCAGGCGGATTTGCCCATGGTGTCTGACCTTCCTGAAGTGGGGACGGAGGAAGGCAGAGGTCGAGGGCTGCAGGCTTGTCCTTTCTACCCTGCTCGCCGCGGGGTAACTCACCAAAGTCGCCTCAGGGTCAGATCCAAGCAGCCTCGCTGCTCCTGTTGGGGGAGAAAGGGACTGCGGCATTTCCCAAGAGCCCCTCTATATCCTGCCACAACCTCCCAGTGTTCTCAGTCTGGGAGTGGGGACTTGGAGAAGTGAAGATATTGACTCTCCTAGCTCGGCCTGGTGGAAAGACCTCGGGTTGGTGAATCTCAGACTCCGTCTGGAGTCATGGCTAAATGTCTCCGGTCCGGGTTCAGTACAGGATTCGGGCTCAGCTCGATCCAGGAACCCAGCTTCTAGCTGCAGTCTAAGCTGGCTCCTCCGACTAAACTCTTAGGAGGTGATTCTGAGCCCCGTACCTGCGGCGCTTAATATCCACCCCCACTCCCTGTGTGCGGGCCACCGCCGAACCATCTTTTCCTCCTCTCCCCCACCCCCACCCCCCAACCCCAGTCCTGCAGGGGCAAGCGATGGACAGAGAATTGCTAGAATGCAGTGCGTCCTGTCCGACAGGTGGATGGGAAACAGTTAAAGCAGTTTGCCTGAGGGACAGACATGAGG